ATATTGCCAATATTTCCAAAGATAAGTAACGTTGATAAACCATAACGGCCAATATCCTTTTGAATATTGAGTATAGTTGTTGTTGACATCTTGTTAAAATAATCTTGTTGAAATAAAAAATGCAAGTAACTGAGATAAATTACAATCGTGGTTCAAAAAAATATAATTCTGTTTGATATGAGAGAAGTGAAGTAAATCCCACTGCTTTTATTATTGTAAATATAGTATTAATAACTTTGATTAATATATTCATCAAAAGATTATAAAAATTTTTGCGACTGATTATCTTTTCAAGAAATTCCTATACCTCTAGCTATATATATTTATGTACCTAGAGTATATTTTTTTTATTAAAAAAAGACAGCTAATTAAAGAAAGTGGGTGTTTCTTGTGATAATGGGTACTGATTTCAAATTGGGTCACATTTTTTCAAATACCTAGAAATGAAACATGACAATCTCGATTCTTATTCAAAAATTTGAAATAAATAAATGAATTTATTAGTGTCTTATTTATAAAACATTACTTCAGGCAAATAGTTAAAAATTATTTCTGTACTCTTTTTAATATATATAATCGATATTAATTAGATTTTTTTCAACGAAAAGATTAATTTATCGAATGTCTACTGCGTACAAAAATAATGATTACTGAAGCAAGAGATTAGTCTAGAAACGTAGGAGGAAAGAATAAACAAATTTAAAAATAGGATATTTTATCATCACTGACATATTTTATTGATTAAATTAAATCTGTTGGTGTTACTACTTTTGAAAAACTAAAATAGATAGTCTACCATACAGATAATTTTTATAATTTCATAAAACCGTGTAGTTTCAAACAAAAAAACTAGGTCTTTTCAAATTGTGCACTTAATTAATATTGAGACACAACAAAACTGATGAAGTCAGGTCGTTTTATAATATGCTGAAAGATAAATTGAAAATAAGTCATACATAAAATATCCGGTGTTGAAAATAGCGTACTAACTAATTAGAGTTAATATTTACAATAAGAAAATCGAATCTAATATATCACAATATCGAAATTAGTAAATAACTATATATGAAAGAATGTTAAATTACTCATAGTTTTTCTTATTACAAATTAGATATCAAAATAATGTATTACGTTCCCTGTAGAGAAGAATCATGACATATTGTACTGAATTTTTTTTGCTGTAAGACAATTTTTGACAGTATAATTTAATTTAGAGATTGGAAAGAAATACTGTTGACAATCAAAGCATTTTTATCACGTAATATTTATTAGTAACAAAATTGCGTTCATTAAATATAACGCATGATTGTAAATCTCTACGGATTATTATTTTCTTCTATCTATTACGATGTTTAATATGCAATTTTCTTAATGAGTTTAATAGGTGCATTACGTTATTCTTGATGATTTTTGAGTACTTCTGAAAAATATTGACTACTCTATCGAACTAATCATATGATTTTATTTGAAAAAGAAGTGATAAATATCAAGTATATCAAAATAATAGACTGTTAATGTTTTTAGGAAATACAGTAAACTATACAAAACTATTAAAAATAACATAATCAACCTGTATATTTTAACTTTCGTTGTAAATTTAATTGTGGTAAATCGTTGTATTATGTAGAATGTAATAATGTCTTTTACAAAAATGTATTTTATTAAATAAGCACATGATCACTTCGTTAGTATACATATTGTTCTCGATTACTCAAGTATGAGAATTGTGAGACAAGACCGTTTTACGTGATGTTACTCTTAGGTTTCTTATATTCCCTAGAAATAATATGTATTTGTTTGTGGTAAAATCAAGGAGAGAATTTTATGTTGATTGAATATTCAAATTGAACAAGTTCACCAGTAATCATAGTTGAATCAATACATGTATCTGACACACACAATGGATTGTTGATATAATTGAGCAATCGAATCTATTCTATATAAAGAACTACTTATTGCGCTTTAAAATTGAGTAGGTACATACACTTTGACATAAGATTATTTGTATTCAATCTTATTTTACATAGAACCCCGTTGTAAATATTATAGTGAAAGTAATACTAAAATAAGAACGTTAATGATGTTCCTTTTTTAAAATATATTATTAGAAAATTATAAATAATCAACACAATTTATGAATTGTTTATAAACTACAGGTGGTCTAGAAAAACAGATTATCATGTCTGTGAAGAATTTAATAACATAGAAAAGTCACGTATTTTTGGAAAGACCTAACAGTATGTCATATAATAATTATTTTTCCTAACGGCGGAAAACAATATTATAAACTGACATAAGGTATATACTGAAGAAATCTTAAATGGTGAATAGTTTGACTAAAACTATTGAATAACGATGTTGAACTACACAAGCATATTTCAGATTGTTTAAATCATATATGAACAAATCTTTTAATAGTTATGAATTAACATAATCTACTCTCCAATTTATAAAATTTAAAAGTAATTATTCACATTCATTATATTTGTTTATAAATTACAAAAAAAACAGTTCAAATATAAAAGGATTTAATTCATTTAGCTGCGCACACAGTCTATATATGTATTTATATTAAATATTCAGTTGCTGACGAAAAAGAGGGTGTGGACTGAGAGTATAGATAATCTCAGCCACACCCACCCTCAAGATTTGATGAAGTATAAAGTTTTTATTTTAAATAAATGAAGTATTTACAGCATATATATTTTATAAAATATATGAAAAAAAAATAAGTATTAATCTTCACGATATGGTAAGTTAAGTGGTGGGATGTTTGCATCACAGATAATTCTTTTTTTATGAGCATGATCCACAAATTCCTTCCAAGCAGGATCTTGATCAGCTAACTGAGTTAAATTTCCAAATACATATAAAGCATATTTTGATCGAGTTAACATTACATTCATACGATTCATATCATTTAAAAATCCAATAGTCTCACCACTACGTACACAGGACAATATAACAATATCTTTTTCTTTGCCTTGTGAACTATCCGCTGTCATGACTTCAATATAAGGTGGTAAATATGATCGAAATAGTCGGACTTGAGCTTTATATGGCGTAATTATAGCAATATGTTGTTGAATTTCAGGTAATCGAGGATCATTAATTGATAATCGTTGTAAACATCTTCTTTCATTTTCTACTTCATTAATACTACCATTAGTTGTTCTAGAAATCGAAATAGACGAACAAGTTGTGCTGGATTCATCATCATCATCATCATCATCATCATCATCATCATCATCACCATCTTCATCATCATCTTCATCATTGTCGTCATCACTATTATCAGTGCTTCGTTCATCACTGTTACTGCTACCAAAGATCGATGTAGGCTGCTCAGCAAGATGCGCAATCAATAAATTACAAAACGCTTGTATACATTTCGCTTCACCTTGATTATACGACGATTTAGCACTATCATAGGTATGTGGTGAATTAGTTATATTATATAAATATAATGGTTTTAAAGTAAAATGTCTCATTCTTCTCTCTACTGAATCATGTGTTATTAAACGACTGGAATAGAAGTATCCACTTGGAAAACGACATATATATGGATGCATCCGATATTGAATATTGAGCATACTTATTGGACCATCTGGATATTGATCAAAAATAGAAAAAAGACGTCCATAGAGAGATTGAGATAAACCATACGTTTTACCAGCGTCACTCAGAACACACGGAGGAAGCTGTTTTGGATCGCCTACAAGCATTAGTTTAGTACATTTAAATCGAAGTGGTAAAAGAAGGTCAGCTTCTGAACCTTGACTCGCTAAAAAAAAGAAAAGAAAAGGAAACGTTATTTCCATTATTTAATAAATTCATAATATTTTGTCTCTCATTCCAATGGAAAAATAACTGATCTCATGTCTTTTATTACTGTATGTATCCTATTGAATGACATTCGAATTTACCTTCATCGATAATAACAAATTCTGTAGATGATTTCAATGGCTCCATTCTTGTACTTCCACAATAGTTCAATGTTGATATAACTATCTGAGAATGTCGCATAAGACGTCCCTCAGTTTCTTGAGCAATATTTGGACTTATTTTTTGGTCCGTTTTCAAGACATCTACTATATCTTGTAAAATCATGAAGTCTAAGAAATAATCACATAAACGATAATCATCAGGTGGTTGACAACCAATGCGAACTAATGTACCTATTCAAATTAAATTCATTTCAATAAGAGTTGAATAGATATTTCCTATATTAGAAAATACTTACCCCGTTTGTAAGGAACATCTCTTTTTTGAAATTCATCAAGAATACGACGAGAAAGTTCGTCACATGCATTATTTGATGGTGCACAAAGAAGAATTTTTCTTTTACGTTTGTTCTCTGATAGTTTAGTTAGTAACTTCATTACGATACCTGCGATTGTTCGACTTTTGCCTGTACCTAAATATATAGGAACATGAAAGATTTCTTGATTTTATTTTAACAAGTACTAGTATTATTACCGGGCGGACCATGTACAATGCGCATTCTCTCTTGAAAATCATTAAACATACATTCAGCAATAGTAATTGTTCTTGATTGGGCTGGATTAAATCCATCTGTATGATTAGTAATCAATGGATCATAATCTTCAGGTTTTTGAAAATAAATATCATTGATCATGGGTTTTAGTATACTTCGATATTGAGGCCATTCATTTAAACTATGAATAGCACTAATCATACGTCTTGTTGATGATATATTAGTTAATTTTGTTATTGCTAATTTATCATCCTTCATTTGCTTACGGTATTGCTGAAAGGCAACAGAACATGCACGTGAAACGTAAACGCCAATTGTTGTATTTAATTCGAATATAAGATTATCATGCTTACCATTGTTCGTATTATTATCTTCCTGACGATTACCTTCATTTGCTACTTTAACTTTATTTTGTTCAACATGG